TCCACAGTCAGGTTGTTGTAGGTGAAGAGGCTATGGAGGAAAGCCAAGACCTGTGGTGAACAAAAGGGGCAACATTTTCTAAGTTAAAGAGTAGATCTGTGCATCCAGAATCACAGTGCGTAAAAATCCTCCCGGCCTGCTGAATCTATTTTGACAGTTGGACAAGAAAGGCTTAAACATTGGACAGATCTCCTTTTCTGGAGAAGCACCTGCTACATATTCTGGAAAACGGTTTGTCTGTCTTCTGTCGGTCTGGACACCTCTCAAGGTAAGTTATGGGGCAGATGGCAGGCACAGTTTTGAATCAAGATAGACTGACACATGACCTTGGCATGACTTTGCCTGTTTTCTGGCACAGGTTCAGCCTATCGTAACCAAACTCAGCAAGAGGATTCTCAATGTAGGGACAGCCATTTTTGTCAACATTTGACAACAGGTGCCATCTTGAAACTAGATGGTGGATCAAAAGGTAATTTTAGGATGACTTCACACCGTTTTCAGCACGACGGGGCCAAACTCACAAATTACACTATCCATTTGAAAGTCAAATATTTTTGGTTTCTATTCTGCTTTTGGAATTCCCCGCTAGTGCCTGCTATGAAAGATTCCAGAATGGCTTTGGGCATGATGCAGAATCAGGAACAACGAATGCTTCTCCTAGTTATGCTCCCATACCTGGATTTGAGAGTCTCTTGCCCTGGCTTCTGGGAAACACGGAATATCTCCAGGTGTTGGGTGAAATGAGGGAGTTAATGAAGGAAAGGGTGACCGGGAGGTGAGGGTCACACAACATCTATTCTCAACGTACCTGTGGTTACTCTGCGCTAAAACGGAGCCAAGGAGCACTGGGTTCTGCAGCCTTTATATATAAAAGCTGAGCATGTGCAAGTCTTATTTTATTTATTCATTTATTTATATGTCCATTCATTCATTTCATGAAATTTATACACAGCACGACTAAAAAGAAACCTCAAAGCTCTTTGCAAGGAAAATAAAATTCAGTAACTCAAACACTCAGAAGATAAACTCAGCAACACACTAAAAACAGATTAAAACAGACATCCACATTCTACATGTCTGGACAGGCTTGCCTAAAGATAACATTTTCTATCAGGCACCGGAAAAAATGAAGTGAAGGCACCTGCCTGATGTCAATAGGCAGGGAGTTCCAGAGTGTAGGTGCTGTCCCATTAAAATATTTGAGTTCTTACAAATGCAGAATGGGGATTATGTGTCACCTGAAACAGTGCCAGTTCTGCAGATCAAGGGGGTGCATATGGAGAAAGGCAATATTGCAGGTAAGCTGGTCACAAGTTGTTACGGGTGTTTTATACTAATACTAACACATTGAGCCTGATCCAGTAGCAAACTGGCAACCAGTGCATCATTTTTTATTGTTTATTACGGTTTTGCAAGCTACAGACAACATCAAGAGAGGCAGTAAGACATCAAATGCCACCCCTGTCCAATGGAGATTAAGTTTCTGTAGCATGTGACACAGGCTTCAGTGCCAAATGCAATCTGGAGGGAAACAAAGGTTGCAGGGGTGTTCACTTACAGGCTCCACAATACTAAACTTCTTGCTCTCCTGCACTTCTTGGATCTGATAGACGTATTCCAGGGAAGATTCAAAGAAAACGTGCCGCTCTTTATCCACCTGCATGTCAGCCTAGGTGAGAAACAGAATGGGGATGTTAATACAACAGCAGCACGGCTACCTTTACATGTCCTTACAAAGTGTGGTTCTCAAGTGCTGAAAACCTCTTCACCTACCTCTTGCAAATGGGATTCTTTTTTCTTTGAAGATAAATTCAAATGGCGATCCAACATGGAGTAAAACCTCTCTCCGTCCTTCTCAAATTTCTTTTTCCGTTCCTAGAAATGGAGGAGATGCAAAATCATTGTGTTGTGAGCAACTGTTAAGTACTATTTTTAAGGAACAGATGTCAGGGGTTTCCAGCCTGACCCTAAAAGGCACTCTCCACTGGCTCTGCAAAATTTTAGTAGTGAAGGAAAGGCGCTCTGCATTTGCACAGAGGAATCATTCTTATTAAGGACATGATTCCACATGATTCCAAGCTTGATTTAAAAAAAAAAAAAGTCTCAGAAGCAAGCACTGGTTACAATATTTCTAACATCTGAACACTTAAAGTTCATCCAGACAGCTCAGAATGGCCATGTTTTAACTTCCCAACCACCCTGTAAGGAAGTAAGAAAGACTGGAAGATTGTGACTTGGCTCATCCCAGAGAATTCTGGGAGTTGTGGTTTGTTATGGGTGCTGAAAGTTGTTAGGAGACCTCCTTTTCCTTCCCCACAGAACTACAGTTCCCAGAGTTCCTGTGAAGAGGGATTGACTGCTAAACCACTCTGGGAATTGTAGTCCTGTGGGGAAGGAATAGAGGGCCTCCTCAGAACTCTCAGCACCACCATTGCCCCCTGACCATGTACGGAGATATACCGATACTGAGAATGCATGTGCTGAGAATTATCCCTGCAACTATTATGCGGGGAATTCTCTGGGAGCAATTTTGGGGTCCATAAAAGGGGTCTGTGACTATTATGTGGTGGTGACTAGTATGTGGTGAAATACAGTAAGCGGTTTATATGCAGGGAGTTGGACTGGAGGACCCTTGGGGTCCATTCCAATTCTACAGTTCTATGATTCCATGAGACTTCTATTCTCCTCCCAGCGCTACAAACTCTAGTTTCCTCTGAAGAGGAACCAATCACTAAACTACTCTATAATTGTTGTAGCCACCTATTTTTCCCCCAACGCTACAATTCTCAGTACTTCCTGTGACTGTTAAACCACTCTGGGAATTGTAGCTCTGTGAGAGGATTGGGTGGGGCTCGTAACAATTCCCAGCCCCCTTAACAAGGCTGTAGCTCCCAGAATTCGTTGGTGGGAGCCACGACTGTTCGAAGTGGTATCCTAGCACTTTAAATGTATGGTGTGGCCTTGGCGTTCATAAGGAAGAACTTTCTGGATAGGGGAAGGTGAGATGGAGGACTACAAGACTGAAAGCTACCTGCCTCTATAAGCAGCTACATAGCATCATGGCGAGGAGTTTTCCACCACACCATTCACCCAGAGATGCTAGCTTTCTACATGGAGAGGTTTCCCTTTTTCCCTGAGGAAGCATTCAGCTATCTTATCATCTCCCAACTGCACTGTTGAAGGGGTATCATCCTGGAGAAGTTACTCCTCTTTGTGCAAATTGAGCCTTATCTAGGCACACACAAGAGCCAGCTGCGCTAGCGACAAATGGCTTTTAGTAAACTTCACTGCAAAAAAAATTTAAAAATGGGGAGATATAAAGGAGTCTAGGAGGCCATCTGCTCCATTGCATTTTCAGGCAGCCGGCCTCTTTCTAAGAAATAGAAAACAGCTTTTCTATTAAAGAGAAAGTTCATCGCCCATTCTAGATCCAATATGGCTTTTGGAACAGCTGCAATATGCTGGCAGCCTGGGACGTGCTGCCAGATGGATTTCATCTTATACACAAACCAAGCCCTTGGACTTACGCCACCCGAGACCCACTGAAAATCACTGGGACTAAGCTGCCTTAAGGATACTTAAAGCGGTTGGTGGAGATTCCTGCATTGCTGGAGGTTGAAGCAGATGTTCCTTTCCAACTCTGCAGTTCTATGATTCTAGGGTTGTGTGTAGGGTTGTATGTGCAGAACTGATACCTTCCTCCAACCATTTTTAGAGAGCGTATTTTCTCCCACTGGGAAACTTGCCAGTGGTTATATAAGCATTACTGAGTGCCCAGAGTTGGTGTTAACACACCCAGAGCCACCTGGAATTTGTTATATATATTTTTGCATGGTTGGGATAAGACCATGCCAGCTTGAGCTGCTGGGAGCTGGGGGGCCAGCAATACCTGGAGAGCATCATGTTGGCCAATGCTGCTCCACCTCAACCAATGCACACACAAAGGGTTTATTGAAGGGTTTATCTGCAACAGTGCTTCCCCAAGTGGGAGGTAGCACACCCTGGGGGACAATGGGATTACCTATGAGGTGCTGAGGCAAGGGGGTTGCAGGGGACACTGGAGATGTAAATGACTATCAGACTTTGAAAAGCAAGTATCAGTTTTGTTGAATCAATTAAGCTAAGCAATTGATTGGATTTTGAGTAAATGTGCAGCTAATTGTTACATTGTGGAACTTTATTGTGTTACTGTCTTCCTTGGTGGGTCATGCAAACCGTTATTACAGACAATGCTTGTATAAGGGTAGGGTAGAAGGGTACCATGGAACCATGGCAGCACGGGCATGAAAAAGTTTGGGAACCACCACTGCAATTTTTGGAAGCTCTTTCTGATTTCTAGCCCAGCCACAAGGAGGAGCACTTTACAAGTAGTTCGAGACAGAAAGGGCCAATGGAGAAACATCTGTGCACAGCAGGAGGTAGTTTGTGTCTGTAAAGGAGTCAGGGAACAGCCTCAGAACCTCCTATGAGAAACAGATGCTCAAAAACATGCAGCAATTCACCTATAGTGGGAGCACTCATGGGTCTCATAATTTTGGAATGAGGTGTATCAAGAAATCTTTAAAATAATTAAATGCATTATTGTGGCTTCACCGCAACTCTCTTTATTGAACATACGGGATGGAGAAGTGGGAAATGTGTGCTCTAAGGAACTTCTGACTTGGATGTTGGCTGGGGCTAGAATTTCAATAGCCCAGCTATGGAAAAACTCTAGGAGACTTTAACTTTTCTTTGTGGTATGAAAGAACATGGACCTCAGTTCCAGCAGAGAAGATAACGCCCGAGGTGCAGATTCCCAGGTGGAAAACTAAGAACGTTTATTTGCAGTCTGGTGGAACTTCATTATGCAGTGCCATGTTGGGCAAAATGATTCCTGCATTGCAGGGGGGTGGCTAGACTCAAGGAGGATAACTGAGCCGTCCCACGAGTGGGGCTAGGCGTTCTGTTCTCTGTATGGAGGTGTGGGCTTGAATCCCACTGCTGACACATCTGTTTTAGGGGGAAGAGCCATAGCACAGTGGTAGAGCATCTGCCTTCCATGTAGAAGGTCCCAGGTTCAATCCCCACCACCTCCTGTGAGATACACCCTGTCTGAAATCCTGGAAAGCAACTGCTGCCCTCAGAGTAGATGGACCAGTGGTCTGACTTGGTATAGCTTCCTATGTTCCTATGTTTCAATTAAGATAAACTAAATTTGTTGCCGCCCATGTGCTATGGAATTTGTTTTTTTTAAAAAAAAACAACGATGCAATGAATGCTCTGCAAGAAGTTGGTGCTGTTAATTTGCACTACTGCAATATTCACTACATTCTTTTTTAACATGACTCCCACATGAGGAACGGTTGCTGCGTTTGAGAGGTTTCAGCTCAGAGAAAAAGTGAAGAAGAGGTGACATGACAGAAGTTTATAAAATTATGCAATGGCACACAGAAAGTGAGTAGAGGAAAGTTTTTTCCCTGTCCCAAAACACTAGAATTCACGGACATCCAGGGAAGATTCAGGACACAGAAAAGGGAGTCCTTATTCATGCAGCACATAGTTTTAACTATGGAACTCTCTGCCACAGGAGGTAGTGATGGCCACCAAACTACATGGCTTCAAAAGAGGAATAGGCAAATTAATGGAGGAGGAGAGAGCTATGGATGGCTACTAGCCAGGATGGATATGCTCTGCCTCCACAGTTGGAGGCATTAATGCTTCTCGATATCAGCTGCTGGAAACCACAGATGGGGAGGGGGCTTGTGCTTGGATCCTGCTTGCATTGGGGCATCTGACTGGCAACTGTGACAGTAGGTTGCTGCACGAGATGGGCCACTGGCCTGATCTGGTGAGGCTCTCCTTACGTTCTTAGGGGCAAATGAGTGTGGTCACACTCACTTCCCTGTTTGTGAACACCCAAAGAGAAGCTACAACAGCCTTAGCATTATTTCCACTATGGCAGTTTGTTTTAAACTTTTGAAGTCTGGAAACAGAGACAAGGAAGGAGGCGAAGTGTCAAGCGTTATTGTCTGCAACTTAAAATGTCAATGACTCCAGATGGGCTGGGCTGAATCCAAGCTTGTGTGTTCGCCAAGAAGTCTCCATTTCAAGCACTGGTCCACAGCCAATTACTTTAGCCTGCTGACTAATGGGGAACTCTGACTTTTTGGTACTGGACAAAGCGAACTTTTACACTCTATGAGAGACTGCTTTACGGAGGGGACGGGGAAGAGAGTGCTTTGACCCTGCTTGCATTTTCTGTAATAAAGTTTTAATGATGAATTTAGAATGGTTTTCCATCTTCATTACACCAGCAGACAACTGCATTTGAACAATGGCTCTTGACCCATGGTTTGCAAAACAGGTGGTAATGCCCCATCAGGAGGGTCAGGGGAGATCACTTAGCCGGGTGCTAAGAGGCAAAAGGGTGGGGGAGGGGTGCTGGATATGTAAATGACCATCAGAATTAGAAAAGCTGGTATCATTGGATCAAGAGCATTAGTTTTGCTCTAATTCATTAAATTCAATAGTTTTAACTGGATTTTGAAGCAAGGTACAATTAATTTCCATTGTGTTATTATCTTCTTTAGTGGGTCATGCAAATGCTTTTTATAAGGTAGGGTAGCACTGGGGGCATGTTTATGGAACTGGGGGGCAGGGGGGCTTGAATTTTTTTGGGAACCACTGCCCTAGTCTTTGCCACCTGGAACATAGGAATCTGCCTTATGCTGAGTCAGACCACGAGTTCATTTGGCTCAGCACTGTCTGCACTGACTGGCAGAAGCTCTCCAGGGTTCCAGACAGGAAGTGCCTCTCAGCACTTCCTGGAGATACCTTTTGGGTCACTTCCAGGTTTGGCGCCCTGCACGCATGATCACCTGTCAATTAGACATGTGTAAATCAGGAGTTGGCTGTATACCTGGTTTTTTTTTAATTCTGCTGGTTTTATCTGTATTCAGCAGATAAACATATTACACTATTCTATGTAAATATCCCACGTCATATTTTTATGTAAATGTTTTTATGTAAATACTTTATGCAACAAGTTTTTCTTTTATTTTCCCTTTTTTCTTTAGCGCTCTATAAATTGCTAAATATATAAATATACAAATAAGTTCCTAAGTAAAAATTGAAGGGGGCAGGGGGAATTAACTTACTTTGGTGAATCCAATTTGCTCCTTGCGGAAGTTTTCCAGTGGTTTGATCAGTAAATCACTAGCATTTTGCACCTGTAGATAAAATTAAGAAAGCAAGGCAACATATAATTAATGAACTTTTATTTATTGCATTTCAATCCCCATTTTTTTCTCTCCAAAGAGCTCAAGGTGGTGTACATGGTTCTCCCCCTCCTCATTCACAACAACCCCGTGAGGTAGGTTAGGTGAGAGGTGGTGACTGGGCCCCAGTCACACCCAGTGAGCTTCAAGGCTGAGTGAGAATTTGGATTCAATCTGAATGCACCCACTTTGACTATAGCCCTTAAGTGTAATTATGCCAATGGAGGAACAAAGGGTGGCCTATACTCACCATCATTGATCTTTCAAGTTCCACCTCTTGAAGCAGCTCTGAAAACTCCTTAAAGGATTCGGCTACGAATGAATGAAAATGAGTTACTTGGGACTGACCCTCAGGGGTTGCAAATTATGTACTGCAACAGCACACAGATCGGTTTTATTTATTTTAGTTGTATATGCCACACACCCACACACCCCAAATAACACTAGAACTCACAGACATCCAATGAAGCTGAATGTTGGGAGATTCAGGACGGATAAAAGAAAATGACTCCTTCATGCAGGGCATAGTTAGACTGTGGAACTCCCTCCCACAGGAGGCAGTGATGGCCACCAATCAGGATAGCTTTAAGAGGGTTGAACAAATTTAGGGAGGGGGATGCTGTGGATGGCTGGGCTTTGCCTCCGCGGTTGGTGGCAACAATACTTCTGAATACCAGTTGCTGGAAGCCACAGGAGGGGAAAGGGCTCTTGTGCTCAGGTTCTGCTCCTGTGATTCCCACTGGAGCATTTATTCAGCCACTGTGGGAACAAGATGCTGGACTAAATGGCCCATTGGCCTGATCCAGCAGGCTCTTGCTATGTTCTTATGCCAAGGATTTCTTAACTGAACTACGATAGTGGCCTGACCAGAAATGACAGATCCTTCAATCTCTCTTGCATGCTGCAACAATGAGCCAAAAGGTTTGATCAGTTGGAACTAACATCCTGCAGCAACAAGAATGCCTTGAAGGAGATGGGGATGGAAGTCTACTACCTCAAGTACAGAGGCAAGTAACTGGCCTTTGCCATTATTTATGTCCCCATGCCTGTCATACATCACAAGGCTGAAACAAAGATAAGACAGTAGAATCTTCATGGCTTTTCAGGATCGTCCCTGTGTTCCTGCTCTTCCTCTGACTCATCTTAGCATGACACTATCTGCCTGTTTCCTATCATTTCCAGAGTTTTCCAAGAGTGCTAAGACTTTCCAGCTCGTTTGATCAGAGCCCTCAGCTTCTCATATCACCGTAGCAGCAGTTTCCAGTCTCCAAAACCGCTGGTGGAACAGCAGCAGTTAAGAGGGAGATAATTCCCCAAATGGCTTTTAAAGGAAACAGTGCAGGGGTGCCCGCCCGCCCCCCCAAAAAAATTAGCTTGGTTTTCATTAACCCAGCTTTTTTGCCAATTGCACAAATTCTTGCTTGTCTTTAAAAGAGGACTGGACAAATTCATGGAGAAGAAGTGGGCTATTGAGAGCTACTAGCCATGAAGGCTATGCTCTGCCTCTGCAGTTAGAGGCGGCGATGCTTCTAAATACCACTTGTTGGAAACCACCCAAGGATGCGATGAAGTGTCCTAAATCCAGGAATGTTATCAATAACGGACTTCCCAGGAACTTCATGATTAGTGTGTCAGCATTTTCAAGCAGCAACACACACACACACACACACACACGAGGAAGCACTTACCAATGTTAATCTCATCATCTGTCAGGGTGTCCCCAATAAAGTCAAACTGAAACGACTGGAGAGTCTGGGAGAATTTCTGTACAGCCAAGGAGTAATCTAGGAAAGATGGAAAGGTTGCAGAGATAAGTATGAAAAACTGGCAATTAAAATCTGTAGAAGCTTCATTTCTACAGACCGGGCAGAGCACCTTTTGGATTCCACACTTTCCTCCGAAATAATAAGCGCAGCACACAAAGGAGAAATGCTTATTAAACTTTAACATTAAGATTAGGGGGGAAAGAGGTCCAGAGTCCACTGCTTCATGGTTGCTCACATTGCTGCTTTTCTAGTGGGGGAAAAAGACCTTTGTGTGAAAGTTATTGTTATTTATAGGATTTCTATTCTACCTTTTTCTTAAAGGAGCTCGAGGTGGCAGACATGGCTTTCCCTTTCCTCATTTAATCCTCACAACCACCTTGCAAGGTAGGTTAGGCTGAGAGGCAGTGAGCGGTCCAAGGTCACCTCGTGAGTTTCATGGCTGAGTGGGGGCAACCGAATCCAGGTCTCCCAGGTCCTAGTCCAGTATACCAGCTATTACACCACATAGGCTCTCAAAAATGGGGCAGAGGGTGGGGGAAGCAGTCAAAAGAGGCATGCTTACATCAAACATGTTGGGAGGTCATCGTTGTTGTAGCCTCAATAATATTCCCCCCCCCCATTCAATTACTTGACCAACCCCTGAAACGCCTTCCACTAAGCTGTGCCAGCAGTAAAATAAAACTGCATACAGTTTTGTGACCATCTTGTGCTGCAGACTGCCAGTGAGGTGTAGTGGTTAGAGTGACTTAGACTGTGACTTGGGAGTCCCAGTTTCAAATCCCTGCTTGGCCATGATGTCCACTGGGTGAGACCTTGGGTGGCAGTCACTGCCTCTCAGTCTAACCAGGGTTAGAATCTCAAGATATATAAGCTAGGCGCCAAATAGTGCCTTAAAGCTAGGTTACAATGGAACGGAATGCCTATTCACTGAGGGGTTGGACTAGATGTCCCCGGGGGTCCCTTTGCAATACTACAATCCTTCAATTCTATGATCTCAACTACATTGCTTGACAGTAGCTTGCTCTTACAACAAATTCACTTGCCCCAGTATGC